AAGACAGATTGTTCATTCTTCTGACAGTCCATGGTATATTCAGTATTCTTACCAACACCATAATTCAAAAGAGTCAGTTCTTTTTGTGTCTTCCTTATTCATTGTCCAGCATATGATGTGATTAAAAACACCATGGCTTGGGTTAGGCGCACCTTAGTCTTCAATGTAACATCTTTGCATTTTAACACTTTAAAGAGGTCTTTTGCAGATTTGCCCAATGCAGTGCGTCTTTTGATTTCTTGACTGCTACTTCCATGAGTGTTGATTGTGGATACAAGTCAAATGAAATCCTTGACAACTTCAATCTTTTCTCCATTTATCATGATGTTGCTTATTGGTCCAGTTGTGAGGATTTTTGTTTTCTTTATGTTGAGGCGCTATCCGTACTGAAGGCTGGAGTTTTTGATCTTCATCAGTAAGTGCTTCAAGTCCTCTTCATTTTCAGCAAGCAAGGTTGTGTCATCTACATAACGCAGGTTGTTAATGAGTCTTCCTGAAATCCTGGTGCCCGTTTGTTCTTCATATGGTCCAGCTTCTTGGATTATTTGCTCAGCATACAGATTGAATAAGCATAGCATCATGGATTGAGCTGTGTCCCCCAAAAATATCTGTCAGCCTGGCTGGCTCATGATTCCCAGTATTGTATGATTGTCCACCATTTTGTAATCTGATGTGATTTCCTTATGTGTTGTAAACTCCATCAGTATGATGTAATACAATGGATTAGTGGTAGTTATACTGATGAGGTCTACAAGATTAGATAGTGTCTTAAGCCAACCTCTTTTGAGATATAAAAGAGAGAAGTGAGCAGGGACACATGTGGACCTTATATCACCAAGAAAGCGGTGCTGGGAGCAGAGCACGTCCTTTGGACCTCCCTGCACTGAGATGCTCCCAGAACAAGGGAAGACTGATGACAAGGACCTTCCACCAGAGCTGACAGAGAAAGCACTCCTCTGGAGCTGACGCCCTGAATTTGGACTTGTAACCTACTGGACTGTGAGAGAATAAATTTCTCTTTGTTAAAGCCATCCACTTGTGGTATTTCTGTTATAGCAGCACTAGATGACTAAGACAGATGGTGAAAGGATACACCCCTAATGCATAACTTTCCTGATTTATCCCCTTGTTCTGTTCAAACTACTGCCACTTGGTCTATGTATAGATTCTGCATGAGCACAATTAGGTGTTGTGGAATTCCCAGTCTTTGCATTGTTGTCCGTAATCTGTTATGATCCACGCAGTCAAATGCCTCTGTATAGTCAATAAAACACAGGTAGACATCTTTCTGGTATTCCCTGCTTTCAACCAAGATCTACTTGTCATCATCGATATCCCTTGTTCCATGTCCTCTTCTGAATCTAGCTTGAATTTTTGACAGTTCCCTGTCGATGTACTGCTGCAACCATTTTTGAATTATCTTCAGCAAAATTTTTCTTGCATGTGATATTAACGATATGTTCGATAATTTCCGCATTCTGTTGTATCACCTGTGGCAAAGTGGTTAAGTGATACGGCTACTAACCAAAAGGTCAGCAGTTCAAATCCATCAGCTGCCCCTTGGAAACCTTACGGGGCAGTTCTACTCTGTCCTATAGGGTCACTATGGGTCGGAATCGACTAGATGGCAACGAGTTTTTTTTTAACGAGTGGTATCACCTTCCTTCGGAATGGGCCCAGATAGGGTCTCTTCCAGTCAGTTGGCCAGGTAACTGTCTTCCAGATTTCTTGGTATAGACGAGTGAGTACCGCTAGCACTGCATCCGTTTGTTGAAACATCTCAAT